GCCCAGGCTAAGCCATCCAGGTAGAAAATTTGCCATGATCAAATATTATGAACTAAGTCCAGGTAATATTTCTGCTTCACTTTTAAAACACCCATAATTCCACATGCAAAGGCAATTTTTTTTAACAATCCATCACTAAGCTTTTACCCAACATCCTTTATCCTTCCATGTGCCAGATATTTATTAAGCACTGGAGATACAAAATAAGAAAGACACCATTTCTGGGTTTTGAGTCAACGATTAAAGAAGACATTCAAGAGTAATAGGGACTCTATCTCCTAGCTACCTACCCACTGTGGTGAGAGCCAAAGAGGATAAAATGATTTGTGTGAGTTGGGAGATTGGTAGCGAAAGCTTTCGGAGGAGTGATGATTTGATCTAACTCTTGAAGAATAAATAGCTTATATAAAATTACATTTATTTTAGTGTGTGTGTGTGGGAGGAGGGGTCAGTTGATAACTTGGGTTATCCATTCTCTCCTACCCTTGGGTCTCAGTGATTGCACCAAGGTTGCCAGGCTTGGTGGCAAGCCTGTTTAGCCACTGAGCGACGCCTTAAGCCAGTACACATTTTGATAAAGAATAAAAATATATGAAGGAGGAAGATAAAGTGTTTGGAGAGGCTGAGGCTCTGAGGTATGGATGGAATGTGGATTGTAGGGTGTGGCGGATGGCATCTCTATTTACAAATACTTGCTTCCCTCCCCTGTGACGTCAGGCGTGGCCACGTGAACTGCTCTCCGGAGGAGCTTTAAGATTTGTGTAGTCTTTGCTCTCAGCAATGTTTAGAATGAAGATGCTGTTGGCTGGGGTCCCAGAACCCACATGTGTGTACAAGTACAGACAGAGCTGACTTCTGTAGACACGTAGCACGAGTGGGAAATAACCCTGAGGCTGTAATCCGGGAAGATCTGTGGACGGCTTCCACAGCAGTCATCTCACCTAGACAGAAGTGGGCACTTCAAACTCCTGGCTTTCAGGCATACAGTGGGACTGAATGTCCCTGCACCCTTTCAGGCAACAAGCCATGTGGCTCATATCAGCTTCTAGTCTATGAATTCAATAATGTGCATCACACCTGGAAAAAGCTCTTAAAGTCAGCATGGACTCGTGCCTTCTTTCCCCACCAAGATGACTATCATGATTCCGGAAGCACGACTCAAGACGAAAACTTCTACAGATGAGGTAAACACAATTAAACACAGCCCTTCCGAACCTGGGCATATACAATGAGCAAGAAGTAAATTTCTCTATAAGCTACTGAGATTTTTAGAGCTCTGTGTTATAGCAGTATAACTGCACTTGACCTGACTCATTTAAAACATGGCATGGGGTAACACAATAAAACCAAGAAACATAAAAGCCAACCATTCATCTCAACTGGCCAACGGCTACGGACGCAGGCTGAGAGGATAGTGATCTTTTTGGCAAACCTCACCTGTCGTAAGTTAAGAGACAGATAATGAACCTGTCAGAATTTTCCCCCTGGGTGGGTGGTGGGGAATTGGAGATGGAGAGACTAAGCAGCACCTACCTCCAACTCCTAAGGGCCCACCAACAAATCAAAGTTTGATTCTACCGCATTTCACCGGGGAAACCAGTGAGTTCATTAGGCTTCCTTATAGAAGATGGAGGGGTTTTTCATCAGCCTGAGAAGCCAAGGACAATGGCACTGCGTTTTGATCCTTCTGCATGTACTGGCTTTGTGGGAGCCTAGCCTGTTTGGATGCTCACCTTCTGAGACCTGGATGGAGGGGGGAGGACCTTGGACTTCCCACAGGGCAGGGAACCCTGACTGTTCTTAGGACTGGAGAGGGAGGGGAAGATGAGTGGGGGGAGGGAGAGAGGAGTGGGGGGAAGGAAAGAGGAGTGGGGGGGAAGGGAAGAAGAGTGGGGGGAGGGGGAAGGAAATGGGAGGCGAGGAGGAGGCGGAAATTTTTTTCAATAAAAAAAATATAAAAACAAAAACTGAAAAAAAAAAAAAAGATGGAGGGGGCCGGTTACAGGCAGGATTGCCGGAGACTCTAAAGCAGCTGAGCTGCAAGGCCTGCACCAACATTGATGATAGCGCCCCTGTGGCTGCGTGGATGGAGACTCTTTCCCCAAGTCTTCCCCAGACTATACAATCCACCCACACCCGGAGACCCCACCGCCACATGCAATTAGTGTACAATTGCATACACATGGCAGGAAGGAGTGACTGGATGCTCTGGTGAGGGTCCAGTGACACTGTCTCTCCCTCCTTCCAAGTAGGGAATGTCAACAGCACACGCCCAACTGTGATGATCTTTTCCAAGTAGGCACAACTATCTTATGGACAGCGCCTTACAAGGGGACCTAATGGGTGAAAGCAAGAGGTTATAACACCAGGCCAGGAGCATTTGCAGGTGGCGACTGAAGTAAGATCTAGGTCAATGTGGCCACATCGTAAGTAGGAACAAAAGAAAACAGAAAATCCAAAACTTTGGAGGTTTGCAGGTTGAACAAAGGCAATCCCAATAAAATAAAATAAACAAGAGAAGGGTCTGGATAAGTTCAGCCTTGCAGCAAGGATCTGTTCAAGGGGTAATAACCTATTGTTAAAACTCTCAAGACACACAGAACATGACGGTGAACACTGTGACCTCAGTGTTTGGGAGTTGGAGGCAGGAGGGTTGCCTTCAAGGCTAGCTTGGGCTATAACAAGACCCTGTCTCAAACTATCCAAACCAACCCCTCGGTATACTGAATGATGGTACCCAATGTTCATTCAGCTCTGGAGAGGAGAAGAAAGGTACAACTTTCCCATCTCCTAAGGCTAACATACTCAAAACCAAGCCAAAAGCAAAAGGAAAGAGATGAGCAGAACATGAGGCAGAAGAGTAAGAAAGCAAAGAAACAGAGCAAACCACTGGAACGGGACCAGAAAAGAACAGTTGCTGTGGCTACTCGCACTGCCTCTCAGCTTTGGCCAGCGGCATATGAGAAAGAAAGCCAGTCAGGAGGCCATGCCTGAGACTCAGGGCCTGAAAGGGGTCCTTCCTGTCTTCTTTCCTTCTTCAGGGGGATCAGCCCCAACAACCCCTCAGTAACAGCATGAAGTTCACATCCAGGCTTTGAGAGGTAGTGTAGAGAGGCGTTAGGTCCAGGTGTGTCTTCCTCTGAGGGAGAACTAGCTCCCCTGAATCCCATTCACATTATAAGATGGGGCAGAGACAGGGCTCTGCTTGGGAAGGGAAGGTCCTGAGGGCACAGTAGATGCTAGCCCCTGAGTGTTTTCAGAACACGCCCACCCCTCAATCCATTCCTGCAATTAAGGCCTGGTTCTGCTCCTACGACCACTTTCTGTGACCCTGGGTTTGCCTGAAGTCTTCCAAAGACTTAATAAAGACCCAGGGCTTTAAAAGATATAAGACCTTGAAGATAGTCTTTTGTAATGCAGGTTGATTGTAATTCCCATACAGGTGTAGTTTCTTGTAGGATACAAGGTATTCCATGTGGAGGCTCAGCTATGCTACCCCAAACCCATCACCCCAGAGGCCGAAGTCAGTAAATGATGGTTTCTTGCTCCCTCCCACTACTTGCCCACTGGGGCTGAGCAGGGAACTCTGTCCACTGTCCAGCTTCTCACCAGCTGTGACTGAAGGGGGACCTCAGCAAAGCTCTGAGTGACTCTCAGTGTATTCCCCTTCAGTGCTTTGCAACTGAGCCTCCAGCAAGATGAGGCTAGATAGCAGTGGCTGGCTGGACTGCTGGAAAAACCCCTTCTCCCAGACAAAGAGGAAGTGGATGGTGGCTTGCAAGCAGAGGCATTAGCAAGAGCACAACCTTTTCCGCCCAGGATGAAATGTGCTATTTCTTAAGCGAAGTAGAAAATAAGCCTTCTAGGCCGCAGGAGGCAGGAGAGGCACAGGACCCTTGGGCAAAAGCTACATACTTACCCAGTCCTAAGTCCCCGACTTTCTAAATACAGGAGCAAGAAAACAACTTCTAGGCCATCAACAATCCTTCCCAAACAGACAACCAAAGCTTTGGGAGAAAGTTTGCCAGAGTGGAGAAAATACAAAGGAATGTAACACAGACTTCAGGTCACTCTCCAGCTGTCCCTGTACCCCAAGCAAGACACATGAACTCTTTGGGATTAGTTCCTCCTGTGTAAAGTCTAGGTAAAAATGTACGTGCCTCAAGATGGCTGTGGGAAGGAAACGGCATACTTAAAGTGCTTGGGCTAACTGGCAGATAGGGGCTGTTTAATGGACAAAACTTACTTTTATTACTGTTATCATAAATCATGTAGAATATGAGCTCCTTGATTAGGGGAACTCATTCTCTCTTTGGGGGAAGTAAATGGATCTGGACTTCACAGAAACCCTGCTCTCTCTACCCTGCCCCCACAAAGGTCAGTGCCTGGCTGGCAGCAGCCAGTCAGTTACCCTCTGCAGTCTGAGCGAAAGCGAAATGAGCACGCAGAGGCAGGGTAGAAAGAGTTGGCCGGTTTCCCACCGATACCAGCTGCTATTGGGTTCTGAATGCTCCAAGGCAAAACATCTTAAGGCTACAAACCCTGGGCAGAGTTCCGAGGCAGCAAAGTTCAAATTAGAACCTCGGAACTTAAAAAAGGTCTAACTTCAAACCTTAAGTCATGGGCGAAAAGGAGGCTTGGGGGAAGAGCTGGCGCATAGCCTTTTGCTACCTTGCTCACCGGCTCCTACCAAATCAGTCAAATCACACCCCTGTAATCTGGTACTCCCGAGAAGGCCCAGGGGGGGACGCCGAAGGGGGCAAGGAAGGGGACAGTCAGTCGACCACCTTCTAGTCCTGGAGTCACGGAAGATAACACTAATGCCTGGAAGCCCGAGACGGCGGACCTCACCCGCTCTACCTGTAGAGAGGCCAATAAAGCTCAGAGAAGTTCCGAGATTTGCACTTCTGCCATGAGAGAGCCAGGCTTGCCACCTCTTTAGACCTAAGGGGTGGAGGATGGAGGTCGGATAGCAGCGCCCTAGGAAAGAAACCACTTACATGTGTCTAGCGCTTCCTAGAGGCCGCAGAGGATATAGCTCCACCAGCGGGCGGGGAGGGGAGCGTTTAGCCTGCTTCTTACCAGGGACTCCCGCTTAGGCAGCGTGACTTTCGGGCGAGTCGGCGGCTCTTAAGACTTGTTTTCCCAGAAGCAAATCAGGAGGGGGAAAGGGCGGGCGCGAGCTGAGTGCGCGCGGGACCGTGTGTGCGCTCGAGCACAGGCGATCGCCGGGGTTTCCCGAGTTTTGAACGCTTAAATGTTGGTTTTGACACCCCCCCCCCCCCATGGGTGCTGGGACTCACACCTTAATTTCACATCTAGAAAACGCGTCCCTCCGAGGCAAAGCGAGCCCCTCCCCGCACGTCCCCAGAGGGTGACGTGTTGTGCCGAGGACCCAGAGGAGTCCGGTTCCTAGTACCGCACATCTCTGGCTTCCAGGTACAGCACACGGCGGCGCAGATCCCCCGCCGGAACTTAACCAAGAGACAAACTTCCACGCGTGCTCAAGACGTGGGACACTCTTAAGCCCGTTCAACTTCAACCCACTTTCGCACTCCCGGGGCACACACAACCATCTTAACCCGCGCTGCTGCCTCCCGGAAGTGCGGGGGTGCAGAGCCTGCTGAAGCTCAGGTCGCTCAGTCGCTTCACACGTGTGTGAGTGTGTGTGCGTGTGTGTGTGTGTGTGTGTGTGTGTGTGCATCTGTGCGCGTCACCTCCACTCCCCTCCCAGGCCTTCCACCCCGGGCCACTAGAGCGCCTCCCCAGCTTTCCGGATCCCCTCGTCTCGGGTCTCGGTCTGGGTCCCCATCCCTGAACTTGAGCCCGCCTCCCGACAGACGCCGCAAGGGTCCAGCCGACCCGGCAGCCTCCGTCACTAGACAGCCAAACCAAGACGTCAGCCCACAATGCACCGGGCGGGCCGGGAAAGACGCGCCGGGGAGGGAACCCGGGAACACAAGCCCGAGCGCCGCGCGGGAGGGGGGAGGGAGGGAGGGAGGGAGGGAGGGAGGGAGGGAGGGAGGGAGGGACGAGGAGGAGGAGAAAGAAGGGCCCAACTGTAGGAGCGCAGCGGAGCATTACCTCATCCCGTGAGCCTCCGCGGGCCCAGAGAAGAATCTTCTAGGGTGAGGTCTCCATGGCGACAGGCGGGCCCGCCCCCCTGAGAGCGACGCAAGCCAATGGGAAGGCCTTGGGGTGACATCATGGGCTATTTTTAGGGGTTGACTGGTAGCAGATAAGTGTTGAGCTCAGGCTGGATAAGGACTCAGAGTTGCACTGAGTGTGGCAGAGACGACCTGGTAGGAACGCGCTCAAGCAGAAAGGCAGACAGAGAGAGGGACGGACGGACTCGGTCAACCTGGACGGCCGCGGACTCCGGGCTGCTCATCTGTTTGTCTTCATTTTCTCACCGACTCCTTGGATCCAGCGCCCGCGTTTCCAGCATCGGTGTTTTGGGGAGCACTTGAAGAGTCCCTTCTCCCGCCTTCCCCGGAGAAGCTCCCAAGTCCCGGCGCTGCTGACAGCATCGAGAGCGGCGCCTGCCCGCGCGAGGAAATAGGCGAGCGGCTACGCCGGCCAGCAACTTTCCTGACCCAGAAGACCGGGAACAAGTGGCCCGGAGCGAACTTTTGCAAACCTTTGCTGCGCCTTAGGCTGCCACCGAGACCGTAAAAGAAAAGGGAGAAGAGGAACCTACACTCAGCCAGGCTCGCACAGGCGGCTGAAGTTGGGCGAGCGCTAGCCGCGGCCGCCGAGCGTCCCCCTCCCCCTCGCCGCGGAGGAGGGGACAGTTGTCAGAGTCCGGGGCGGCGGAGCCCGATCGCGGGGCTTCCACCGAGAGTTCCCTGACGACTGGTTCGCGCCGCCGGAGAGTCGCTGTCGCTGGAGCTGGTCCGCAGTCCCCGAGGAACCGCTGCCATCCGAGAGCGCTCGGTGAGTGACCGCGACTTTTCAAAGCCCGGCGGCAGCGCGCGGGAGTTGACCAACGTGAGCGCAGGCGGTTTCTTAACCCTGCTCTCCCTGGAGCGAGCTGGGGAGGAGGGCGCAGGGGGGGAGCATCGCCGACCGGAGCGCGCGCTCTTAGACAAACTTTACTTGTCACCGAAGCAGGGACGCACGGGTGTCCCCCGCTCCCCAGCGCGCTGTTGCGGCCCCGAAACTTCAGCGCACAGCCCAGGCCAACCCCGCGTGAACTGACCGACCATTCTATGACTGCAAAGATGGAAACGACCTTCTACGACGATGCCCTCAACGCCTCGTTCCTCCAGTCCGAGAGCGGCGCCTACGGCTACAGTAACCCTAAGATCCTGAAACAGAGCATGACCTTGAACCTGGCCGACCCGGTGGGCAATCTGAAGCCGCACCTCCGCGCCAAGAACTCGGACCTCCTCACGTCGCCCGACGTTGGGCTGCTTAAGCTGGCGTCGCCCGAACTGGAGCGCCTGATCATCCAGTCCAGCAATGGACACATCACCACCACGCCGACCCCCACCCAGTTCTTGTGCCCCAAGAACGTGACCGACGAGCAGGAGGGCTTCGCAGAGGGCTTCGTGCGCGCCCTGGCCGAACTGCATAGCCAGAACACGCTGCCCAGCGTCACGTCCGCGGCACAGCCGGTCAGCGGGGCGGGCATGGTGGCTCCCGCGGTGGCATCGGTAGCCGGCGCTGGCGGTGGCGGCGGCTATAGCGCCAGCCTGCACAGCGAGCCTCCGGTCTACGCCAACCTCAGCAACTTCAACCCGGGTGCGCTGAGCAGCGGCGGGGCGCCCTCCTACGGCGCGGCCGGGCTGGCTTTTCCGTCGCAGCCCCAGCAGCAGCAGCAGCAGCCGCCTCAGCCGCCGCACCACTTGGCCCAACAGATCCCGGTGCAGCACCCCCGGCTGCAGGCCCTGAAGGAAGAGCCACAGACGGTGCCCGAGATGCCGGGAGAAACCCCGCCCCTGTCCCCCATCGACATGGAGTCTCAGGAGCGGATCAAGGCGGAGAGGAAGCGCATGAGGAACCGCATCGCTGCCTCCAAGTGCCGGAAAAGGAAGCTGGAGAGGATCGCCCGACTAGAGGAAAAAGTGAAAACCTTGAAAGCGCAAAACTCGGAGCTGGCGTCCACGGCCAACATGCTCAGGGAACAGGTGGCACAGCTTAAACAGAAAGTCATGAACCACGTTAACAGTGGGTGCCAGCTCATGCTAACGCAGCAGTTGCAAACGTTTTGAGGACAGACTGTAAGGGCTGAGGGGTAATGGAAGAAAAAAATATCAGAGACAGACTTGAGAACTTGACTGGTTGCGAAAGAAAAACAAAAGTGCCCGAGTACCGAAGCCAAGGGTACACAAGATGGACTGGGTTGCGTCCTGACGGCGCCCCCAGTGTGTTGGAGTGGGAAGGACGTGGCGCGCCTTGCCTTGGCGTGGAGCCAGAGAGCGGCGGCCTATTGGCTGACAGGCCTGGCGAATGGGCTGTGCCCGCGCGACCAGAGCGATGGACTTTTCGTTAACATTGACCAAGAACTGCATGGACCTAACATTCGATCTCATTCAGTATTAAAGGGGGGGTGGGGGGTTACAAACTGCAAACTGTAGATTGCTTCTGTAGTGCTCCTTAAGAACACAAAGCAGGGAGGGCTAGGGAGGGGAGGGAGGCTCGTGAATGCCAGGCTAGACCGCAGATGAACTTCCCTGGCCTGCCTCCCTCGACTGTGTATGTACATATATATTTTTTTTAATTTGATGAAAGCTGATTACTGTCAATAAACAGCTTCCTGCCTTTGTAAGTTATTCCATGTTTGTTTGTTTGGGTGTCCTGCCCAGTGTTGTTTGTAAATAAGAGATTTGAAGCGTTCTGAGTTTACCATTTGTAATAAAGTATATAATTTTTTTATGTTTTGTTTCTGAAAATTTCCAGAAAGGATATTTAAGAAAATACAATAAAGTATTGAAAAGTAGCCCCCAACCTCTTGGCTGCACTATGAATAGATAATGGTAGCTAGATGGAGTAACAGCTGAGTGTCAGATCTAGCGTAAAAGCTGTGTTCTCTGTTTGATTGTAGAAATAGACGCCCTGCATGCTTTCATTGGGTCACGCTGCCCCCCCCCCCGCCCTGCCCCCAGCAACCCCTGAGTCCAGACTGTTAACCAGAAGATGGTATGGTGTTTCTAGAGGCTGGAAGACAGGGATGGTGCAAGGGAGGGGACGCCCCACTGGGAAAGCAGACACCAGTTTAGAGCTGGAACTGTTCAAGAGGCATGTGCTGTGCTCATTTATAATCCTAGTAGAGGTTTAGCAATAGCTGCTTCTTCTCAAAGCAGGAACCCATGGAAGTTTTTACAGATGTCTCCTTCCAACCTGGACTCCGACAACTCCGAGAGAAAGATGGCCTTTGCTTGTGCATATTTATAACAGCATTCTTGTTGCAATAAATGTATTCAAATAACGGTTTAGAAAATCTTGAATTCCTTTCCCTTTGCTACCTTTTTATTCCTGAACCAAATACTGAAGGTTTCCCAGCGTCTGGGGTTAGCATCACTGCACTCTAAACCTAGTGAATTTAGAGGCAAAGAGTTTAGGAAGAGTCAAACAAGAAGTTGGGGCCCCGGTGGACTATTCTCCCAACCCTCCCTTCTCCCTCCCCTTTTGTCAACCCCTATCCCCATCTCTCCCCAATACCAGGGAAGTGACCAGTGTACCAAGCCCGTATTTATTTTTTTAAACTTATTTCAAAATAATCTGACTTAAATAATTACAGAGCCAATCTAGGAAGATGCCATCATAAATCCTGTGGGGGCAGATTCACAAGAGAAATGCCCCCCAACACTGATTATATAACACATACATCTGTAATCTCAGCTCTTGGGAGACTGAAAACTTGAATTGTGTCTACAGATACAACAGGTTATCAACAAGTGTGTATTTAACAAGGGGACATTTTTTGCCAGGTTCCTTCTCATCCCACGAGCTGCTGTAATTATCAAGCAGCAAAAGCAATTTGACATCCAGAAACACCTCACAGAGGACTCAGCCTGGCTCTTGGCTCATTAGCAGTGTTCCAGTATGCAACATGTCTGGGAGTGCCTGTGGCGGTAAATCCAAACACAGTTTCTCGGTGCACATTTAGGTCTGCAGGGGCCTGGACAGGCTGCTTGGGTGTCAGACACACTCCGTTGTAATAATACTCCTGGAACAAAGAGTTACTGGGAGCCAAGGCACTTTCGCCACACAGTGAATTTGCTGATGTCAGCAACCCGGAAGGTGAGTTGATC